ATTCTATGAAAAAGAAAAGAAATTTTAAAGATAGTCTTGGTTGCAAAAGCAAATTGTGTAGAAGCATCAGGCAAACTGGCCAGATGCTTCCAGAACATAAATTGTTCCTTAACAAAAGTAACGGAAGACTCTTTGGAAAACTACCTAATACTTTCAAACCACTGTTTTTCCATTTAGTGCTTTGAAACGGTAATTTTCAACACAGTTCTCATTACAGAAAGAGTTAATACAGCTTCTCAAAAGTCCTTCTCTTCTCACAGAAAATAGTTTATATTTGGGGACAATTTGGCACAGCTTATGTTACAGCTTAACTTGATTTGTTCTGTAGAAACCAACAATAAGTCATTTCCCCCGCCCATTTGTTCCTAAGAACAAATAAGAATAGATACAAAATGTCAAGGGAGAAAAAAAGAAAAAAAAAAGTATTCTTCATATTATTTTACTTTCTTCAAGCCTTCAAATCAAGATATATAAAGGACAGCCTTCTTCCCAACTGCTCCCACCTGGCAGCCATCCCTTAGAAAACTTTAGAAATGCCCCAAGGTTCATTATCAACACACTAGTCCTTCCCAGTCTAAATGTATCACTGCAGGATAAGTCGACATGGGACTTAATTCCTGCTTATCTAAAGTAAAACAATTTCTAGATACAAAACCCAGCTTGGGGCATGAGACTTGTTTTACTCCCCTCTGGAAATTAGTATTTTTAAGTTTCTAACAGTGAAAAGAAGACACAGACATAGAAATCTATTTAGTGGAAGGCAGTACTACTCCCAAACAGATTTGACAGGTCCAACTAAGGTATAGCAGAGAACCAGCCCAGACCAAACAAACAAACACACTCCAAGGAGACAAACTTGACAGCTAAATTATCTGGTATGTGGCGCGGCCCTAGTTCGATTCTTAAATTTCATTCTATCCCAGAGCCCAAGGTGTGTATGTTGGTAAATTATTTGTGGACATTTTGCAGATATTTCAGTAGCTACACACACATGTATTTCACAAAGTATCGACCAATGCATATTTTTACATAGTTCTTTGAATCTAAAAATAACTTTAACTTTCATGTCTTACCAACACTGTGACAAGGGAGGGTAAATCAAAGAAAAGCTACTTTGGGAATCAGTGAGGAAATGTTTAACAGGCCTGCTGGGTGTTCTTTTTAATGCTGTCTTGGATCTCAGATTAAATTATTATACTTTCTATGTTGTTGTCCTGGGTCATTTGTGCATGAAGACAAAAGGCAACTTCAACTTGATATTTCTGTCATCCCTGCTGTGGGAAGAGTCCTTTTCCTGGTTCATAACATCAATCACTCTCGCAATAAATCTTGACGGTGGATATGGTCATTTAAATCTCCACCTGCACAAACAACAGAAAATAAGAGAGCTCATAAATCTCTATGCTGGTGATTAACAAATTTTGAATCCTCGGCAAAGATATTATGGTAGAGGGGGGTCTCACTAATTCATTAATAAAGACTGATTTGCTGACAATTTGTTTAGTTTACAGCATAGGGGGAAAGCAAACAAGACCCTGCTAACAAAACAAAACGTTAGCGTTCAGTGAATTCCCAGCTGAGCCCCAGATTAGAGATGTGATATCTTAGTGTAGAAGAGGGGTGCAGAGTCTGAGCTAAAAGCTTAGAAGCCATTTCTACTTTGACTCCAGGCCCTCACCTTCAATGCCTTAGTGCAAAGAAATAAACCTGGAGAGGAAGTGGTGAGAGAGATTCTTGCATTCAGCTCCCCAGTGTGATTTCTTTCAGTCCCTTGGCTTCTGGTTCCCTTTGCTCTTGCAGTTACTTTCCAGATGACTTTCCTATTCTCCAGGAAGGAGGGTTGGGGTTGAGGAGAGGGACCATGAAGAACATTTACCACAGTGATATTCTTTCCCAGTGTTTCGTAATTTTAGCTTCACACACTGGAAGCAAAGAGAATGGAAGGAAAAGGCAGAATTTGTTCCCTAGGTAACCAGCAGTATCAGAGAGGGAAACTACTTATAGAGGAAGCTGCTCCGAAAGGAGCAGAAGGGATGCCTCACAAGAAGCCCAGGCAAGGTGATGTTTGAGAGCAACCAAGATTTTTAAGATAATATTAAATACACTCCTAGAAAGAAACTTAGGAAAAAGTGTTAACTTCATTAAGAAAACATTATCAAGATAGAAAATATTTTTTCACAGCCATGTAAGGCTCTGTCTCTCTCTCATACACACACACACACACACACACACAAACTGTGGTTGTGCAACCATCAAGTGTGTTTGTGTACACACCGGCAATTCTTTGATATCTTTAAAGTGATCAGATGCAGACTTTTTTGTTGTTCTCTTCTCTGCCATCACCATAAAGATTCTCTGAAGCACTTGTTTGTTTTTTCTTTAACCCAGGTAAGGTGAGAAGGCGCTCTAGTGGCATAGTGGGTAAAGAATTTGGCTGCTAACAGAAGGTCGGAGGTTCAAACCCACCAGCTGGCCTGCAGGAGGAAGATGAGGCAATCTACATCTGTAAAGATTTACAGCCTTGGAAGGCCAAGGGGGGTCACTATGAGTCTGAATCAACTCAACAGCACTGGGTTTGGTTTGGTTTTGTTTAAGGTGAGACAGTATGCTGATGAAGCCTCGTGGTCTTATGGAGTGCTGGCAGGAGGCAGTCGATCAATGGATCAGTCGGTGACTGAATTTTAATTTGTGTTTTCCTGGGGTGACAGTTGTGCGTGAAAGGCCCAAAAAGTGCAAGATCTGATCGTTTTCCTAAATGCTCAGAAACAACCATCCGTGGCCTGTTAAAAGGTAAAGAAGGCCTCAGGACAGAGAAGGGCTATGGGTGCAGCTTGTTTCTCCGTGGCCTGGGCAGCCAAAGGAGGTATTTGCTGATTGCAGTTGAGTTGATTTACATTACAAGTTGGAAATGAAGGTAAGTGTGCGAGGTAGGGTTTCCCTCTAGTTGTGAAAGGGGTCTAGGCGAGTTTCTGGGGCCTGACTGGCCCCTCCCCTGGGCTGCAGGGATCCGCCTCTCTATTCCCCAGATAAATTCCTAGTGTCCACTAAATTCCTCAGCGCTCTCTCACACTCCCCTACGGCCACGACTCGGGGGTGGGGAAAGAGAGCGCCTGTCTCCTTCCCGCAGAAGCCCTCGCCATTCCTCCCCACAGTTCTGCCAAAGGGAAGCGGTGTGAGGCCCAACCAGACCCCCCAACCCCTAACACGAAGCGACTCCTCCAGACGCAGGGGGCCACTGGTCTCGACGTCTCGGTCTCCTCTTTTTCTCTCCTTCTCTCTTCTTCTCCCTCTCACGTCCTCTCCCACAAACATGTCCACCGGCTCCCTCAGCGATGTGGAAGACCTTCAGGAGGTGGAGATGCTGGAATGCGACGGCCTGAAAATGGACTCCAACAAGGAGTTTGTGACTTCCAACGAGAGCACCGAGGAGAGCTCCAACTGCGAGAACGGGTCTCCCCAGAAGGGCCGTGGCGGCCTGGGCAAGAGAAGGAAGACGCCCACCAAGAAGAGTCCCCTGAGCGGGGTCAGCCAGGAGGGAAAGCAGGTCCAGCGCAACGCGGCCAACGCGCGCGAGCGGGCCCGGATGCGCGTGCTGAGCAAGGCCTTCTCCAGGCTCAAGACCACCCTGCCCTGGGTGCCCCCGGACACCAAGCTCTCCAAGCTGGACACCCTCAGGCTGGCGTCCAGCTACATCGCCCACTTGAGGCAGATCCTGGCTAACGATAAATATGAGAACGGTTACATTCACCCGGTCAACCTGGTAAGTTACTCGCGCGCCCACTCCGGGGGGGCTTCACCCCCAGCCGCGCGCGCGCCGACCTGTCTCCTCCGCGCCGTGTGTGAGTGCGCGCGGGGCTGGGGGTGCGGGGTGAGGGGGACTGACACACCTCGGCCACCGCCGGCCTAGCGCCTCTAGGGACCACTTGCCCGCGGTCTCCGCACAGCCTACGCTCTCCGCCCCACCAGGCGCCGAGCGGCGGTAATTTATGCGCGTGTTTGACGTGGCAGCCCAATTAGGGATTTGCGAGCGAATTAAGCTGGCAGAGTAGAAGGGTCCTCGCGCTGGCGTGGCGGGCTCGTGCCTACCGGAGCGCCAATAAGATGCAGGGCGCCCGGGAGGGCTTTTCCCGGGTTAACTTCATTGTTTACCAGAAGTTGCTTTTGCTGTGATGCATTTGCTTTATTAACCCTTTTCTTCTTTCAGCGGTAGAACTTTATTTCACCCTTCTAATTCTCGTAAACAAAACCACGCCATTGGTTCCCACCTACATTTAGGCCCATTAGATCCGGGCACATTCATACCCCAACAGTTGTCCACGTAAATCCCCCTACGGCGCTTCTGCTGTTTTAAAATCCCAGATGATCTGGCAAATATTCGCATAATCAGTAGATTAGCCTGAGTATTTTTACAATAAATCAAATTAAGAGGCCACTCTCAGCCAAGATTTAAGAAGTTTTAATCTTAAAAAACAATGCTCGTTGAACCTAACGTTTAAAAAAAGTTGTTTAAAAAACAATACATTGAGCCTGATTTTCTCAAAAACACCACTTTACTATATAAGAAATCCATTTTAATTCCCTTCCATTTACTTAACTTCAAAACTTCTAGGTTTTAAAGAAAAACAACAATAACTTACTAGCACCTCTGTTTATATATGATAAGAAAGAGAGATTTTTCTCTTAAAAGACAAGTCTTATCAGTCAGCACTGGCGAGAGAGGTCTGAATTGTCTCCACAGAATTGGTTTCAGGAACTGGCGGGGGAGGGGGCTGCAAAAACACATTTTGCCGTTAAAAAAAAATCATTTTATGCTCAAGTTAAAAGTTTGGTTTTTTAAGATGAGATGAGTGAACAGGTTTTTAAAATCTAAAACTAAAATGAAAGTATTGCCTAAAGCTTTCACAATCGCTGCCTTCATCTTTATATAACCCGTTGCCGTCGAGTTAACTTTCGGTTCACATCCGGGCGCTTAACCACCGCGCCACCAGGACGCCTTTCATCTTGATGTAAGAAATCTAAATGAGCCTTATTATAAAATAGCACATAAGAGAGTAGAGAATGCTACGCTTCCTCAGCTCAGTAGTAAGAATAATAAAATACGCGTGTGTATTCTTTTATTAGTGTTAATCCTCCCCCCTCCTCCAAGTGCTGGCTATTAATTTAGAAACTGTGGCCAAAGCACGTTTGTGATGCAGGAAACTAAAGCGTGAAGGAAGGAAATGCAGGGGGATGGTGGCGAGAGGGCCCGGAAACCTGCCCTCAGCCCACAGGGAAGCCAGGAGGGCGCCTCGCTGCAAACCTGGTGCCCAACAGGCGCAAGGTCCTCCTGGACCTCCCTGCCCCGGTTCACCGTCGCCTCTGCCTCCAAGCTGTGCCACACAGGCGAGTCACTCTCGGCTTGCCGAGGGCTTTCTCTCTCCGTATCCAGTACGAACTCCTCTGTGTTTTTATGTGAAAAGTCCCACGCCACCCTTGCTGTGACTTGGCGCCAGCCCTGCTTTTTGCTAGATCCCAGCCACAAGATGGTTCTTGGACGTCGAGTAAATGTCTTAGACTGGTCTCTCCAACCCACTGAGTCACCGCGCGTTCTCCTTTCCATCTCCGCCTCCAAGCCCACCCCAGAACCACCTTCACCGCCACTTACCTCCTCCATCCTCTTCTCTCCTGCAGACTTGGCCCTTTATGGTGGCTGGGAAACCCGAGAGTGACCTGAAAGAAGTGGTGACCGCGAGCCGCTTGTGTGGAACCACTGCGTCCTGACCTTGGAGGTGCGAGCCTGGGAAAGGCGCGCTTCCGGGGGGAGCGGGCCACGGGACGGCGACCCCTGCCCTCCCTGCTCTCTGTCTCTGCTTCCCCCTCACGAGGCTCCTCTCCCTGTCCCACCCCGCGAGAACACTTCACAGCGACGAGGAGATCCGTTTCCAAACCAGAGGAGATCAACTGTGCTTCCAAAGATTCCCATCTATTTAACTTTATTAACTTCTACCGTGAATGACTCTTCAAGCCTTGCTGGTCCAAGTGCAATATGTAATTATAAATATATAAATCGATAATAAGAGCCTATCAATGTGTATCTTTTGTACAATATGTTGTAAAATGTAGATCATAGAATAGCTGACTTTGACAGTCACATTTATAAAATAATTCACTTAAAGATATATATTTTTTTTTCAAACAAGTTTTGCTACTTCTGGAAATAAATCTTTCTTTATATTGCTAAATGCATTAACATTGTTGTGATTTTTAAAAATGTATTTGGAATAGAAAAGTGGGGAGCAATGGGGAAAATTGATAATAAAAGTGGTTCTTTCAAACCTAAATCTAAACTTCTAGACAGAAAAATGATTAAGATTTCCACTGTGAGGATGTGGGTCATATTTTGCACTGAAATCTTAACAGAAATTTCTGCAGGTTGCTTTTTAAGACCGTTAGAAATAATGTAACTGGAAACAAAAATGGACAACATTAAAGTTATTAACAGTTACACAGCTGAAGGGAAAAACACGCACCAGGAGAGGATAATCAGCTTGTCATGTATTGAGAAGTATAATTGCTGACACAAGCGGGGAGGTCAACTCTATGTTTTTTAACTTTCCAGGCGTGGACGTGAACTCCAACCATACTTGTATGCAATCTAGGGAGGGAATAATGGGAGCTATGAAAAATGTAAATTCCATAACCCTTAGGATATCTTTTATGATTTTCAAAGTGCGCCAGCATAGGTTACATATTTCTTGTTAATTAATTTATTAATGAATGCATTCTAACCATAATAAACCTGTGTCCCTACATTTCGGTTGGGGTTAGCCAGTGCGCACAGCCCCCGCCATGGTTTCCGGCGGACTGGGTTGTAATTTAAACATCTTCCAGGCCAGGGAATAGCTCGTTGGGGAAGATTAAGTTGAGATAAACAGAGAGGCGAGGCCGAGGAGACGGGAACCGGGCTCCCTCGCTGCCCCAGCGCAGCCCGCGGCAGCCGATGCGCCAGATGCCACCGCGGCTGTTTAATGTTCGGGGTTATGACCGGAGTGTTTACAAGACGTCTTCGGTTATTTATACTGTTATTCCTCGCAGAGGGCCTTGAAACTTCCGCTTCGTTTGCTGTTTCTTTTCGACTCTTCTTTTTCTTCTTTTTCTAGGCTCAGTTTGGTACCTGAATTAAGAGCTCCCTCCCTCTCCCGCACTGACCTCCAACCAACACCAAAGGCCGGTTACCGGGTGGTCAAGGAAGGAGCCAGCGATGCTAGTCTTGACTAGAGAACCCTGGGCCCTGGCGCGTTTTCTGATAGTTACCATAGCTACCAAGTGCAATTCCGCACCGTCCAGGGGCTGGGAATTTAGTCGACTCCTCGTCCACGTGTCTTTCATTCGCATGTCTCAGGGCTTCTCAGGTGTCTGGCAGGTCACCCCTGCTCATGTAATCTTAGCTTATTTCACGGAGCTCAGGCTGCGGCCACTTTCTCCAAATCCGGATGCTGTGTCATTTTTATCAGAGGGACAGTGCTTCCGAGTAGACCTATCCAGAGTTCAAGCCTGCACTGAGTTCCAGAGAGACTTGCCTTTCAGATTCAGCTAATTTTCCCAATACTCACAGACGTTTTCACAAACCAATGTCCCCAATTCTGAGCACTCTACGCAGATGGCCCCATAGAGAAGTAGTCTCTTCTGGCTCATTCTCTGATGGAAGCTGGGGAACTGCTACCTCTTCCACCTATAAGAAGCTCTGGTGGTTTAGTGGGTAAGGCAGTTGGCTGCTAACCAGAAGGCTGGTGCTTCAAACCCACCATGGGAAGAAGATGAGGCAATCTACTTCCATAAGGATTTGTTGTTGTTGTTGTTGTTGTGTGCAGTCTAATCGGCCCGACTCATAGTGACCCCTCCTTGGGTTTCTGAGGCAGTATCACTACGGAAGTAGGATTGCCCAACCTTCCTTCTGAGGAGTGGCTGG